ATGGCCGTTCTTCCATTGAAGAGTGACTGTATTCTAATGTCTCTGTTTCTGTGTCCTGAAAGAGTCAGTAATGAACCTATACTCTAAGTTATGTGTAGCTTTTTTGAAAAGAGTATACCAGTCAAATTTTAGATTATATATGTAACTTTTTTCTTTCCTTTCCTTTATTTTTATACTTATCCAGCTAGGTTTGGTTTGATTTTTGTTTGTTTGTTTTTTGAGACACAGTCACGCTCTGTCATCCAGGCTGAAGGGCAGTGGCAGGATCTCGGTCACTGCAACCTCTGCCTCCCAGGTTCAAGCGATTTTCCTGCCTCAGTCTCCCAAGTAGCTGGGACTACAGATGCATGCCACCATGCCCGGCTAATTTTTGTATTTTTAGTAGAGACGGGGTTTCGTCATGTTGGCCAGGCTGGCCCTGAACTCCTGACCTCAGGTGCAGTGGCTCACACCTGTAATCCCAGCACTTTGGGAAGCCTAGACAGACAGTATTAATTAATACAGACAAAATGATAGCTTACTTTGAATATACAGTCAATGGTCATGCTTACGTTTACTTGTATTTAGAGTGAGTTGTGTCCAATTTAGAAAATAGAATCACCTTGTGGGTTCTTTGCTTTTCTTTGAAATGTCACTAGGATGTATATTTGCCTGTCTAGGTAATTTTATATATAATGATTTGCCAGGACTGATACACTTTGATGATCACTCAGCATCATCTACTTTATAAATCTAGGCTTTACCTTGTCTTTCTCATTTTAACACACACACACGCATGCATGCACGCACCAAACCTGGCTATATTAGTTCATTTTCATACTGCTATAAAGATACTGCCTGAGACTGGGTAATTTTGAACAAAAGAGATTTAATTGTCTCACAGTTTTGCGTGGCCACAGAGACCTCAGGAAACTTAAAATCATGGCAGAAGGCAAAGAAGCAAGCTACATCTTACATGGCAGCAGGAGAGAGAGGAAACTGCCACTTTTAAACCATCAGATCTCCTAAGAACTCCCTCACTATCATGAGAACAGCATGGGGGGAACCACCCCCATGATCCAATTACCCCCCACCAGACTCCTCCCTTGACATGTAAAGATTACAATTTGAGTTGAGATTTGGGTGGGGACATATAGCCAAAGTATATCACTGGGTTTTCTAAGATCAGATGAGATCTGGCACATTCAGGGTGGTTTGGCCGTAGACTTCACTGTTTTCTATATTTTATTTGGGACAAAATGCAGTTAACAAAATTGTGGCTTAAGATGAAATAAATGGTTCAAAACTAGGTGTGTTGATTATCAGAGATGCCTTTTAAAATGTCACCAGTCCTAAGGGTGTAACCATATTACCACTTAATAATGCAAAAGAGGACAAGAATATACACAGCTAGATCAATAACAATGATTCAGTAAAGTATAAAGCAGTGCTTCATTTGGATAGAAGAGTGTATAGTTTTAAAAAGCCCTCTTTCCCTCACCATGTGATTTTGATTCTCTCTCTAAGGTGGACATGCCTTCTTCTTCCCTGTCTCATAATCATCAACCACTATTCCTGACTCACTCCATGAATTGCTAGCTGACAGTATATTCTGAGACTTAATTTCTTCAGTATTGTAGAGCTCTAATACCATGACCTACAATGACTCCAGTAATTCATGGCTGTATATTAAGTCTTTATTATGTTAAATTCTCCCTAAACATTGGCTTTCTATCTTAATGATTTAGCTGCAACAGTCCTGTGATAGATGTGTACAGGTGTAGATGGACAACAAATACAATTTTTTCAATAAGACAATGTAATTACAAACAGTGATGGATCTTCTAATTCTCTAATGAATCATGATGCAATAATAATAATTAATAACATTTACATACTACTTCTCCATTTACAGAATATTCATTGCTAGTATTACAGTAGAGTCTCACAACAGCCTTGTAAAATAATTATTAGCTTCAGTTTCTAGTGATTAAACTGAGTATCAAAGTGTTTTAAAAACTGCCTGGATTCTTGCTGTCTGGTACGCCATACTGAGAAATAAGAAATAATAACAATTGTAAGAAAATGTCTTATTTAAATTACTTTTGGTGCAGCTTTTCTTTCAAAGTTTTCTTTTTCACATACTAGAGGTGGAGTATAGTATTATTTTTTTACCGTTTTCCTCCTCTACCCCCATTAGAGTTCATTTTCTTTTAGCATCATAAATTTTTACTGAACCATTTCATTGTACGTACTTCCACAGATGACAAAGTCGAAAGGTAGTTTATGAATGTGAATTAGAAATTTTTATATGTAAAACTAAAACAACATGTTCTTACCTAAGAAACTGACTAGTTATTGATAATAGTTTGATATTTTTAAATGTATCAATTTTTATGGAGTTGATTATGGTTTTTTGTAGATGATTATTTTATTTACAGCAGGTAGTTATCTTTCTTAGAGGAAATATCTGAGTCTTTGTTTTACAGTTCTAGGTCTCAAAAGATTTCAGTGTTTCAAAATCTGATTATATGTTAATGTTATATGTCTAGAGCAGAAAAACTTGGAAAATTTTTTTTTCTGTAAGAATATATTTTCATTTTTAATTGAAATAAAGTTTTTCATCAACTATAAAATTTTCATGGCTACCTTATGAATATTTTAGCTACCACATCTAATCTTAATTTCTAAATAAATTAACTTAATTATAATGAGAAAAGCTTCCAATTTTATTTTAATATTTTAATGAATTATTTGTGTTCTATATGTAAACTGTCTCAGCATGAAATCAATTTTCTGCCTTGATTCATTCCAAATCTGAGATTTCTATCACATTAATATTATAATTAGAAACATTAATAGAGACGGCAACTTTAAAAGCATACTTTGCTTCTTGGCAATTTAGCATATTTTTCTGAGTGCATAGGACTTCAAGAACTTTCAGTCCACTAATAAATTTATTAACTCAAACTTAAAAGAAGTGAAAAGTCTCTTTCTTTCTCTCTCCCCATGGCCAGTCTGCTAAAATAGATTATTCATGCTTACTTGATTCAGGTAGGCTTTTGCAAGCTTCCCTACTAGGCCTGGGAATGTGGTACATTGAGGCCTTTTCAGAGGCTTCTGACATAGACCAAGCTTTTATTGCATGGTGTTTTATTATAGCCAAATCCTAGTCTCCACCCAGTTTGTAGGCACTCTGCTTATTCTTTTGAATCAGGAAAGGTTATCACCTACCTTAATCCATGCAGCAGCATGGATTAAGGACACCAGTGTGCCCCAGGATTCTCAAAGAGGATCCTGGAAACTTCTGTTTTTTTCTTTTTTGCTGTCTTTACTAAACTCTATTGGGCCTTAGGGGGATTTGCATCTGAAATGGGCAACCTGGTGTTTTTCTCAATGAAGACATCAGATCAAAGTTCAGTTAGTCAAGGCCTTTCTAAAACATTAAGGGGGCTTGGACTTATACAATAAAAAGATGAGCTCTAGCAGAGATTGCAGTAAAAACATTCTGAACTATAATCCGGATAAAGAATAGATTATAGGCCAAAGAACAGACCTTGTTTAAATTGCTTTAGACTAATAACTTTACATTTTAAAACTTTGCACCCTATTTTTAAGAAACATTTTAATGTTATATATTTTATTTGTCAATAGTTTCATGGTAAATGAATATGTTTTGGGAACAAGAATTCTGTACATATTGCATTGAAAAAATTAGATTGATAGCATCTCTTTTATTAATGAAAGTAAGTAGTACCTTATGGAGGGATGAACAGTCATTTCATTTAAAAAATAAATGTTGAACCCACAGACTCTGAATCTGAGAAAATTGTTTCTATTAGATGTAAAAATTTTTACTTCTTATTACTGTATAATTTCATGTTTGTAGACATTTAGTTTAAGAATATGAATCCTTGAAGTATTATATGCAGATATCTAGTTTCAAGCAAATATGTCTTTCTTATCTAAATTAAAAAGTTGTCACTTAGTAAGATAAGTATCTACTGTGTATTGTTCTTCAATTTCTGTAGCAATTATCTAGCTTTGTTGAATATTCTGAAACTTAGTTTTGAGGCATTCAGGACAGTGGAAATTATGTAAGAGTAGATCAGAGATCTTTTATTAGAAACTCTTGCCAAGTAGGATTTGTTATTAGTTCAGTTTTTGATAGTGGTATATATATATTTCCAATGTGTTGAATGAAAGAAGTTAGCTCGAAGTCCATTCAAAACAACAACATAATAATGTTATGTTAATAGACTTTTGCTATCTCATATAAATAAATTCAGTGTCATATAAATTACAGTTTCTTATGAGAAAGATAATTTGTTGGAGAAATTGTTAGTAGAGAACACAAAAGAGGAATTATTGATGAACTAATGATTATGTCAGATTCTGATTGATCTAATGTAGGTTATATACATTCTTCCACTTTATCTTGTGCCTTGTTCCTGTCTGGAGTATTGTAGTACATTTTATTTTATAAGCCTAATTTAAATTTGTAAAAAATGTTGAATATACATATATATTGTCTTGTGTGAGAATTCAGTTTTAAAATGATACTCAGTTTAATGTATTTAAATAGCTAGATTATTTTGGACCTCTCACCAGTGAATTAATTGGGTTTAAGTTTTCATTTAGTTCTTGGCAACTGCATATTTAATTTGTCACTAAAACCTAGAATCTTAAATATTAATTAAGAATTATGTGTATTGATTTTTGAACTTAGGAAGGTATACACTATAATGAAAATAAACCAAACAGGATTTTAAATTCTTGTCAAATTTAGGGAACAATTAGAAGTGAAGATACATGAGAGATAAAAAGGTTGATTTGTAACTATAAATGCTTTAAAAACAGTAAAGGTTGTTGTATGCTCCTTTGAAATTTAGTGTATATATATAAAATTTCTTCCTTATTAGCTTAAAATGCATAAATATGTCATTGTTTTACAGAATGTAGGACAAATAAATTATAGTTTAAAAATAATTATTTAACAGCCCCTATGGGGTTTATTTTAGCAGATCCGACCAGTATCATCTTCAAGATTTGGTCACTATTACGATGCATCAAAAAGAATACCACAAGAACTAATTGAGGCTTCAAAATGGCATGGGTTTTTTCTTCCAGAGAAAATATCTCCAACTCTCAAAGTAGAACCCTGGTAAGTTAATGACCCATTTAATAACAAAAACTGATTTCAAATATTAGTAGAATGTATTTTTAACATGTTTTCAAAAGAATACAGGTATAAGGTTAAATATTCTAATAATAAATAATAGTTTTCTATATAATTTGTAATTTCAGTTCTATATATTTTTCATAGTGTTTCATTATGTATGGTTTTCTTTTTTCCTCTGGTTCTGTAACTGCTGGAACTGCTATTACTCTGATTTGCAACTTGAAAAGTCAGGACTCCAAATTTATAATAAGTACTGTTTTCAAGAAAATGTAGAACAGTTCTAAACCAGTATCTTTCAGGTTTAAATGCAAATAGACACCTAATAAATATGTATTGATAATAATAGCAGTGAAAAATGATACAAACTAGTGCCATTTGCTTAATTTTTTGGCATATACTTTCTCAGAGAGTATACAAGTATATATTTTACAATATTTTATTTATGAAGGCTTTCTATTTCTGGCTATGCTGTAAAAAAACAATCCATAGAATTTCAAGTGACTTAGAATTTAGAGTTTGGGTTGTAAGTACTGAAACAATCCAACATGTTTATACTGCCAGTGACGTTATTAAGACAAAACTCTGAAAATTACTGGATTTGACTTTGAATAATGTATGTTATAAAGTGTTAAGAATATTTAATTTCAGTTTTTATTGCAGTAAATTATGGAATAGATTGTCACTTATATTTTCATAAGCACTTGTAAAACCATGTTCAAAATGAGGTGAGCTATTAAATGCAGATTTAATATGCAAGGTGTTATGAACCGAAATAACTTAAAATTTATAGTCTCTGTTCTAAAAATAATACCTAAGAATTTAGTGGAGACTACTGTACTCATTCTTATTAAATGTTTCCAAAGAATGTTCACTTTATTATGGAGTTCTCCAATCTATGGATAGAGACTTAGCAAAAGTGGTGCTTTGATGTTGCTTTAGCATTTATAGCTGTCATTAATGTATTACTACTATGTGTCAGCCACTCTGTTAGGCACTTTACATTTGTTGTCTTCTATAATGCTTATATTAACCCTATACAGGGTTATGTAATATTCATATGTATGCAGTCCCATTTTCCAGAGGTATGTAGTCCCATTTTCTAGAAGATACTGAAATTCATAGAACTGAGCTCTCTGAATTTTAATTATTAAGTGATAGACCCAGGCTTAATCTGTCATATTTGTCTTGCTTTTTTGCTTCACTGCTTCAGGAGATTTTGATTTCTTTCACCTTTCCCTTTTTGTGTCATGGAGAAATGAGCACTGATAAAGGAATTTTTAAAATATGGATTCTGATATTGAATTCATCCTACTCTTAACCTTGGGCAAATCACCTAAAATCAGTGAAAATCAGTATCTTCATGTGAATAACTAGAGTTGGGGAAAAGAGAAAATACCACCTGCCTTACCACCTCACTAATTTTTTGTTAAGTTTGAATTACTACATTGATTTTTCTATTTCCCAGTTTTTAGTCAAACATGCATTTACAGATAAGCTTGCAAAATAGGTCAGGGTAATTTTTCTATAATTTCTCAAATAGTAGTAGAGAGAGGAACCAAGGTTCAAAGTAAATTCTCCCTGATTCAGATGCGTGTGTTAGCAATAATGGTAACCTGTCTCCATGGACAGAGTGCTTAGGAAAATAAACATGAAATGTATATTATGTTTGATGTATTTAAATGAAAAATAATATGATGTTACTTTTGTGATTAAAAAATATATATATTTTAAGGGCAATACTTTTTTTTAACACCAGAAAGTACTGTGTTAGTCTTCATTTACTCAGCAGCTGGGATAGTGAGGGTATTAGCATTTGTCAAATATCTTTTCCAAGTCAGATACTCTTCCAGACGTTTGACTATGGGATAACTCATTAAATTCTGCCAACAACCCTCCAAGAGAATTTAACCCCATTTTATAGGGAATTTCAGATTAAAGTTGCTAAGTAACTCTCCCACTGTTGCAGGCTATCAGTGACTGAGCTAACACCCAAACCCAACTTTCTAAAACCTCTGCTCTTTTTTTTTTTGTACCACACTGCCTCCATTTACTGAGGCAGTAAATGTACAACCCACCAACCTAGGTGCCAGAAAAACTACTCCTTGATCAGCCATGAGGATATAATCCTCTAGCCTTTAAAATACCTATTTTCTGAGTGTTTTGTAAGAACTAGCAGTTTTCTAAAGAATAAGAAAATTTATAGATTTTAATTATCAAGCCAGTATTTCATTTCATAGTTAACTAATAATTTATTTATTTCATATTAAACTTAAATGCTTAATTAAATGTAATTAAACTTTAAATGTGTAATTAAATTAATTTTCAAAATGAGCACTTTACTATGTGAGATTTATTTTAATTTATGAAAAGCTTGTGCTCATTTCACCAAAATGAACTTTACTGGTTCATTTATAAAACAATAAAACTAAGCCTTACAGTCATCTATACTTTTCCTGTAATTAAAGCTAGAGGATATAGCTATGTCCTACTATCATATGTGAGGATATAATATATAATTTTATAATTTCTAAATGTGCTATTAAAACATGTAAAGATATTTTTACAATAAGAAAAACTGCAGATCATTTGAAATTTACAATAACTAATTTAAAATGATTAGTAGGTTCACCTATATTAAATACGTATACATACAGTTTAAATTTTCAAATGAAAGCCACAGTATAAAAATCTGAGATGTTTCACAATAATATTATCAAGATAGTTTTGTTTGATATTTCACTGTCATAAATCAGATGATCTGAGTCACAAAATAATTTTAAAAGCTGGTTTTGAGAATAATTCTGTAGTCTAAGGTTTTTTACTTTTGACTTTTTTTTTTAATTAAGCTTTGCTAACAAGTATGTCCAAGCATAGTTTGGTTTTCTTCCTAGAAAGACACTGCCATTTTTCAGTGTCAGCTTTCTTACTGATTAATAATTATATTAACATATTGCTTAACCTGTTGCTACCAACTGAATGTTTGTGTCCCCCCAGAATTCATATGATGAAGCCCTAACCCCCAGTGGGATGGTATTTGGAGATGGGGCCCTTGGGAAGTAATTAGATTTAGATAAGGTTTTGAGGGTGGGACTCAGGTGTGATAAGATTGGTATCTTTATAAAAGAGGGAGAGACACTGGAGCTCTCACTCTATCCTGGAGCATGCAGGAATGAAAGGCCATGTGAGCACACAGCAAGAGGCTGCTGTCTGCAACGCAACTGAAGAGCCCTCACCAGACACCAACCCTGCTTGCATGTTGATCTTGTACTTCCAGTCTCCAGAACTATGAGAAAATAAATTCCTGTTTAAGCCACTCAATCTATTGGGTGGTATTTTGTTATGGCATCCTGTCTTTGCCTATTTGTGGTGCTGTAACAAAATACCTGAGACAAGGGTAATTTATAAAGACAGAAACTAAATCTTGAACTTTCTATCCTCCAGATCTATGAGAAAATAAAAGTGCTGGCAAGTGTGGTTGTCTGATGAGACTAACACTTTCCCTCCAAGATGGCACCTTTTTCCTGTGTTCTCCAAAGGAGAGAAATGATGTGTTCTCACATGGCAGAGGGTGAAAAGGCAAGCTAGCCAAATGTTGTGTGAAGCCTTCTATATAAAGGCCTTAATCCCATTCATGAGAGAGGAGCCCTCGTGGCATAATCACCTCTTAAAGTCCTCATCTCTTAATCTATCACATTGACAACACCTGAATTTTGTAGGGGACCAATTGAAACTATTGCACAGCCTGAACTATGTTAGGTCTCGAATATTGAGTTTGTGTACAGTTAATAGAATGAGTTCATTTTGATACGTTTCTTTGAATTTCAAGATTTTATTTTAACTTATTTATCCTAATAATAGCCAGTAGTTTCTTAAATTGGCCGAGTCTTCTACTAATTAAATTGAATGAATTGAATTCTGTGAGAACCAGTTATCTGTCTAGGAGAATTTGTAAGTGAAAACAATAAAAAGAGGAATTCATCCCATTTTTCTCATCCTGCCAAGTTTCTTTACCAGTTTAAATGGAATCTCAAATAAGTCTTCTATAATGTTTTCCTAGATATATTGTAACTGTTCTCCTTATACATTTCTACTTACTTTTGTTCATATTTCTATCAGGACACTTAACACATGACACTGTAATTCTTTATCTTGTCTACATGCTTGTCTTTCCCCTCAAGCCTTGGAAATCCTTGGGGAAAAGTGTTTTGCTGTCTTCAGCTTTCCCCCTCCCCAAATCTAGAGCACAGGTGTTCAGTCCATGGTTGATGAATTAATGGATCAATGCTCAAAATGTAGTACTAACTCAGATTAACTACAGCCTTATACTAAGCATGAAGATTTGCTGGGATAAAATCAAAAACTGAAACATATTCATTTAAGAGAATATTTTATTTCTCAAATTCAAGCCTTTTAGATTGAAAAGCAAAGAACTACAGTATATTCAAAAGTCTAAATATAAGATTAAAGATTACAGGCATGAGTCATTCCTGGAATACCAGCACTTTGGGAGGTCGAGGCAGGAGGATCACTTGAGCTCAGGATTTCAAGACCAGCCTGGGCAACACAGTGAGACACTCTCTCTACAAAAAAAAAAAATACTAATAGCCAGATGTGGTGACACATGCCTGTAGTCCCAGTTATTCAGGAGACTGAGGTGGGAGAATCACCTGAGACCAGGAGGCCGAGACTTCAGTAAACTGTAATCATGCCACTACACTCCAGCTGGGCAAGAGAGCAAGACCATTGTCTCAAGAAAATAGAAAATTTACACTCACAAGAAATGAATTCTAGAAGAGAGCATCTAAGATTAAAAATTTGGAAATCATATAGTTATAGAAGTATACTATATACTATTTTATTAAAAGGATATGGTTAATACATTAGTGCAAATCTCAGAACTGGTAGAAAGGCATCATGTAAGTGTGAAGAGGGATTTTGCCTGTCTGTTTAGCTGCTAGTGATACAACTAAAGTATAAAGATC